GGGGTTCTGCTTCACTGCCTGTGTAAATGGGGCATCCATGCCAATATCAGAAATCAGCTTCAGAATGACACATTTTTACAAGAACAGCAACAACAACTAACTCTTACGTTTATGTATAATAAATGTAAGAGGCACTGATTTGACTAGGCTGATCTCCTCAGGCAAGTCACAACTCAAAGTGTGCGTTTCTATAAAAATGCACACGGTCTCTGTCGGTCACACAGCCACTATTAGGTATTCTGTTGCTCACCTCCTTCTTGGTGTCAATCTCAAAGTCACTGTCGCTGCCAGGGTCTCCTTGCTCCACCTCATCATTACTGCAAGGGAAAAAAGGCACTAAACACACCCAGCTTTGTCTCCATTCAGCCACCAGGGAATAAATGATGTCTGATTTTAACATTTTGAAAGAGAGTCAGTTATAGTCATGAAACTTGTGTTTCCCCAGGATGACACGCTTATCAAGTGTCATTTAACAAAGAGTTTTATAGATGTCAGGACTCAAGTGAGTCGCTTCTGGGAACTTAATGTTTCCTTCTTCCTCTGTCTCTATCCCCCATTTCTGTCTCCTGGTTCCTCTGTTCTCTCCCATGGGGAGAACATTAAAGTTTGTTGGTCTCTCATACCTATCATCTTTCTCTCTCTTGCTGACCAGCCTCCGGGCCTGTCGGTCCATGACTGAGGTCCTGGTCCTGGTCTTCTTCCAGCTGTAGTAGTACTTCACCAAGCTGGAGATCAGCTTGTCTGGAAGCTACTCTCAAACACAGACATCATTAATGTGAGTATTAAATATTGAAAAATGTTTTTGAAAATGACAGTAACTGCTGTACTAAACAAACTGTAGAGTCGTGTGAGTTCTGTTCCCAGTCTCTCACCATCTGTTGGATGCGGTGGAAGCTCTTGCCGTGGAAGCTGAAGGCCTGTTCGAACAACACTTTATCCTCGACCGTCCACTCGTCTGGGAAAGGGGTGAAGTTGGCGAGGTCGGCCAGTGAGCGCTCCACGTCGTGTTTGTGCCACAGCAACATGCCCAGAGCCTGGAGGAAGAGAGAGGACATAGGCCGGGCCAGGGACCGCAGGAATGTAGTGAGTCAGAAGAGGTGAAAGAGACACAAAGACAGGAGGAGTAAAAAGTTCCACTGCTGTGAAGCAAAGAGGGAGAAAACGAGGCTATACCTTATTAATAAACAACTATCTGTGCAGCTTAACTGAAGTTTTTAACATAAAATATCCTGTTTCATGATGTGTAAAAACTGAAATGATCCTTTGTAGAAAAGGAATTCACCTGCTCCATGTTGTAGCCATGTTTCTCTTTAGCCATCAGAATGTACTCGTCCACTAGAATAACAAGAGAGAACAGTGGGTTTAAAATGTAGGAAGAGAAGGAGAAATGAAATGGTAAAAAGAGGTGAAAGGCCAAGAGCATGTGTGTGTGCTGGTTAGAGCAGGACAACCAGGGAGAGATGGTGAACCAAAATGGGGAGGTGGAGAAAATACAATTTAGATATTTAAGGAAAGGAATATAAAGAGGGGGAGAGAAGAAAGATGGAAGAGAAGAGAGAGAGCACTTAAACAGACTGAATGAATGTCAGTCATCATCTAGCAACTAAACTGAAGTGGTAGTGAAGGTGTGTGTGTGTGTATATGTGGTGCTTACACATAGCATCAGAAAGCTGGCTGTTGGGACACCACACCAACATACTCCTCTGGTCCTTCTCTATGTAACGGGCTGGACTGTCTGGAAATAAAAAGAGAACCAGACACTAGATCCATATATGGAGGTTACACATACAGTGTTTCCCATACATTATTGTAGTGGGCTGCCACAATATCAGCATTGAACGCTACATATTGATTTAAAACGGGTTAATTAAATCTTATGTCAATGTACTGCTGTGTGTAACATGCATTTGCTTAGTCCCTCTGTGCCCCTATTTCTCTCTCTCACACACAAACATATGATGACAGACCATGTGCGAACAGCTCCTCATCTCCATGTTTGTTCATTTCACACAACGTTGTCAATTGCAGAGATCCAACTCTTCTAATACATCACTGGCAAGTTCCAAAGGCTGGCTAAAGTAATGTTAGAATACAGCTGTTGCTGAGACCAGCTAGTACAGGTGGGGCAGGTCATATGACCAGTACGACAGTGCTGAGGTAGCCTGCTATAGTATTACTATATTTAATTTAAACCAAAAAAATATTAAAGTGTGACTCCCAACCCCGAGCTACCACAGTTAAAATCTAATTCTGTGGGAAACACTGCACATATATTTGAACACCTCTTTCACTCCGTCACATCATTTCTCCTTGCCTTCCTCCATCTCTTAAGGTCTTTCATATCCTGATGTCTCTCTCCCTGAATGCTGATTTACTACAACCTCCATTAACTTTGATGCTTCCCCCCCTCCCTTTGTGTTTTCAACTGTCTAGACTCCATCTTTGACTCACTCTTCATTAGGAAGAAATACAAGGTGGAGACAGTGATGTGTCAGTCACTTAACTCTTCTGGGGATTCAACACCTGTACACTGCCAAATTCTGGATGTTCAAGTAGAGGTATCCAGCTACTTTACATCTACTACTCATAGAACGAATCATGCTGTTTCACTAAGCACAACTTCAGAATATTTTCCTCCTTCATGAAATTATAAAAAGCTAAAAGGCCAAAGTAGCTTTATTCTGATTCTATACAGTTAGACTGTTCTGAAACAGCTGAAAAAATTATTTCAGGGCCACTTGTGTTTGAAGGGTTTGAATATGGCAGTGCTAATCCCTTTATCTATTAAACAAAGACTTGACACCCACCCCAGAGAAACCCTTCATGGCGCTGTGTGACAATACTAATCATTTAACACATCCTCTAACTTGGAAGACGTCAACTTCACCTGATTAATTTAAGGCCTTTCAACAATCCACAGGTACCTTCAACATCTGTGTAAACCTATCAATCCATGTTCTGCGGAGGAAGCATCATCCTTGTGTTAGCTGCCACTATTTTTGCATTTCCCATTACTGCACAAGGATATAGCTACAGCAACACAGGCAAGTGTCTCCATCTTCCCACCTGATTCTGTGCTGCTTGAGTGGCTGAATAACAAACTATTTTACATTATGACCAAGACACAGATGACTGAACCCAATATAAGCTGTGCAAACTGTATGATTTAAATTTAAGCAGAGTAAAACATCTGGAAGGAAACTTTATATGAACTGTTTTGGTTTACCAGCAACTGAAGAAAGAGAAACACACTTTTAAATATTTTTGCCTTGTTTTCTTCCCTTCTCCTGTATTTCAACAGAACCACTTGTCATTTCTTTCACTATCTGCATTCCCCTCCCAACTCCATTTCAATGTCCTCCATACTTCTCTTCACCTCTAGGTCTCCTTCTTAGCCCTGATTTCCTTCTCCTCTCTACTTATCTTACTTTTCCTTCTTAGTCACCTCCCTCTCAGGATGTCCTCTGTGGCAACTTACCTGGTTTGAACTCAGGGATCTGCGCCTGGTAGTCTCCACCCACCCTGATCATGCTGTCTGGAGAGAGACATATGCTGAACATAAGTTTCTACAATATTTCCTATGGAGACAAAGGGTGATAAAGAGAAGCTAATGGGAGACAGGTATTCCTGTAACAAAGCTTCTGCTAAGTTACAGGTTTACCTGTTACAGATAACACAAATAAACAATTGAGAATAATCAGCATTTTCTGTTTTGTTGATGTCATCTGCAAGGCTTTGTGCATGCATCATGTTAGAATAGAAAACCCAGATGTTAAGTTGCTAAATCATACTTAGCCAGAGAATGTAACTTGGCAATAGTGGACTATGCAGGAGCCGTATCAAGCTGTATCAGCTTGATACGGCTCCTGTAAAGTACACAGTGCAATAACATTGGTTTCTACAAGGCAGGAGCATGGGGCACCTCAAAAAGTCAGTCCCAACAGCAAACTGATTATCAGTGGTATGTATCACAAAGATCATTTCTGAATATGCTAGAGACACATTACAACCAAGGTGGATCATGGCTAGAGGTAGCTAAATGGTTAGCCTTGCCCAAAACACTGTGCAAACAATCCTTATGTAAAGTTGTCAGTCATCAAGTCTTTGAATTTCTAGTTGTTTTAGAAGATGAAGAATTCTCTGTCATTTAATTGTTCTACTTATTTGAGTTTTTAAACTGTTTGGTTCAGACCACAATAGCAGGATGTTTTTGGGTTCTAACACAGCTTAATTGCTTCAAACTTGTCTCTTTATACAAGAGTGATTAAAATATAGAAATAGCATATATCGTGATATATCACGATATATGATATATTTATCATGATAACATTTTCATCCATAGAGTATCAAGCAAAAGGAACCCAAACAGATGGAGGGGAAGAAAGACAGAAGTGCAGACGTTAATTAGTGCTGTCGTGAAGCCAGCAAGAGACAGAAGAGATGGAGAGAGGGTGAATATGGAGTGAAGAGAAACTATGAGAGAGGCAGACAGAGAAAGAGACTGATTACTGTTTCCTCAGGGACAGAAGACAGGAAGGGAGGAGAGGAGGATGACAAGCTGGAGGAGATGGTAAGAAATGAATGGATGGAGCTAACAAAGGGAACCACAAAAAAGAAAAAACTGGAAGGAAAGGAGGAGGCAGGGTAGGAGATGCTGGCTGCAAAGAGCTGAGAGAAAAAGGAGACAAAGTGATGGAGAAGATGGGAAGATGACTGGAACATTGAAGAAGGATGGAAGAGGTGGAGATGAGGATAAAAGTGGTGGGTGCAATAATCTCAACAGTGAAGTGCCTTTTAAACAGTCCCTCAGTATTCCAGATATACTGCTGTGTTTGATCTAAAAATGCATCCTTGAGAGAGTTGTAAAATGAAAGATCAACAGCAAGTCAGCAGGTGAAGGAGAGAATGAAGGAAGGACAGATGCATGTCGGCAGAGATTGACTAGGATGGAAAAGTGTGGGAAGGGGGGGAGGAAGAGCGAAAGAGAGGACAACAGAGGAGAGCAGTGTGCAGGGAGTAAAGAAGCACTGCAGCAATTCAGTGAATGCAACTGGAGCAGCTGTCTACAGATGTCTGTATGTGTCTAATCAGACTAGAATAGCGACCCTGGACTTTAACTGTCTAAATCAACCTCTTAGCCAGAGAATGTAGAAGTCTGTAGATTATATTTCATTTTAACATCTGTCTGTGTGTGTGTCTCTACCGTGAGCATGCTCTTCATCGCTGCTCTCCTCCTCAGAGTGTGGTTGGCTGTTGCCATTGGTTACGGTCTTGGCTCTGCTCCTGGACAGGACCCCGGCCCCTGAGCGCTCCATCACTGGGGGCATATCTGAAAACACACACACACAAAAGCCTAAATATACAATGTCACAACTTACACCACAATTCAACAATATTTCTGTCTAAAGTGTGATTCAATCTTCCATAAAACCATTAGTCTTTAATTAGTCTTAAGTTGGAAAGTTGGCTGCAATTTGTTTTCATTTCAAACCCTATAAAACCTAATTCACTCTTGTAAAGTATAACAGCACCTTGGAATCGTTCCCATCATTTCCCTCTGTATGAGAACCCATTCACACTCAACAACTCTCTGTTATGTCTCCCTGACCTTCATCATTACTCGGCAGCTCCCAGCGTCACCTTCTAACTAAATACCTCTAATGAAAATGACCTCCCACTGTAGAGAAATGAGATGCTTCCCTCTATTTGTTGGCAAAAGCATATCTGTTAATAATTGCTAGATTCAGGCTCAATGTTAGGTTCTGATCTTCTTCCACTAAGTACTGACCTCAAGAGCACATCCACAGGCTGTCACGACAGAAAACTAATCTGCATCAGTTTTCATAATCAGTTAGGGATGGGCCAACATCAGCAGCCTGCTGCGACTGAAACAATGCACCTCACAGCCCAAACAATTAATTATATAATAATGATGTTGAAAAAACTTTATTGTGGCTCGATCACATCAGGGCCAATAAATGATCAGTCTAATAAAGCTTTTTCTCCTAAAGAAGAAAAAGAGGGCCTTTAGATCAGGAGACAAGGATTAGCTGAGGGCTGTACAGAAGGAGTTGAGGAGGAAGATACAGGAGGGGAAGGCCAGCTACAGGAGGAGGATGGAAGAACAACTGTAGCAGAACATCAGAGTCTGGAAAGGCCTTAAAACCATTACAGGCCACAAGAAGTCCGACTACCAGGCTGGTGGGGACCAGAAGCAGGTGAATGATTTCAATCTGTTTTTTAGTAGATTTGATCAACCAGCTGCCTCTACTTCTGCACAGATATCCCTGCTGCAACACCCCTCCTCTGCATTCTCCGTGTACTTGCTCTGCCCTCTCTCCCACATCCACCTCCCACCAGCTACCCTACAAACAACCCAACCCCCAACCATACACCCCAGCACTCCACTCCCCTGCTCCAGTTTGTCCCTTACTACAAACCAGGTGACAAATGAGCTCAGGACGATCAAGGAAAGGAAGGCTGCAGGTCCAGATGGAATCAGCTCCAGCCTCCTGAGGTCCTGCACAGACCAGCTGTGTGGGATTGTTGGGCACATGTTCAACATGAGCCTGAGGCTAGGGAGAGTACCACAACTGTGGGAAAACATCCTGCATGGTATTAGTACCAAAGTCACAGCACCCAAAGGACCTCAGCAACTACAGGCTGGTGGCACTGATGTTGCACCTGATGAAGACACTGGAGAGACTGGTCCTTGCCTATCTCTGCCCTCTGGTGAGCTCATCTATGGATCCACTTCAGTTTGCCTACCAGCCTGGCATCAGAGTGGATGATTCTGTCAGGTACCTCCTACACAGAGCTCTTTCTCACCTGGGCAAGCCTGAGAGCACTGTGAGAATCATGTTCTTTGACTTCTCCAGTGCCTTCAACACCATACGGCTGGGGCTTCTGAGGGGACCAGCTGAAGCACATGGGGTGGAACACCATTTAACAAGCTGGATTCTGGACTACCTCACCAACCAGCCACAGTATGTGCGGGCACAAGACTGTTTGTCTGACATGGTAGTCTGCTGCACGAGGACCCCACAGGGAACTGTCCTGGCACCGTTCTTCTTCACCTTGTACACTGCAGACTTCAAATACAGCTAACTGAACTGTCACCTGCAAAAGTTCTGATGACTCTGCGATCTTTGGCCTCATGAGAGACAAAGATCACAGGGAGTACAGAGAACTGATCCAGGACTTTGTGGACTGGAGTCTGTGGAACTGCCTCCAGATCAGTGCAGGGAAGACCAAAGAACTGGTGGTGGATTTCTGACATTGAGGGAGTGGACTCTTCTAAGTACTTGGGTGTTCACCTCAACAATAAGATGGACTGGTCAAACAACACTGAGGCACTTTACAAGAAAGGCCTGACCAGGCTCGACCTGCTGAGGAAGCTCAAGTTGTTTGGAGTGCAGGGGACACTCCCAAGGACCTTCTTTAACACAGTAGTGGCATGAACTATCTTCAATGGAGTGGACTGCTGGAGTAGCAGCATCTCCACTGCAGACAGGAAGAGACAAGACAAACTGATTAAGAGGGCCAGCTCTGTCCTGGGGAGCCCCCTCGACCCAGTGCAGGTGATGGGAGACAGGAAGATGTTGGCCAATCTAACATACCTGCTTGACGCCCACCCCATGCATGAGACTCTGACAGCACTGGGCACTGACCTTGGGCTTCAGAAACCAGCAACAGCTCTTCTTCACTTTCACTGTTATGACCTTTCTGTTATTTTGCAGACCAAACTAAACAATTAACTTATTTCAGAAGATAAAAAAATAGGTCCTTATGAGACTAATTTGATATCAGTTCAGAGTATGACATTCAACAGTAGTATAAACAGTAGCAGAATAACTTTTTGAACTATAAAAATGTAATTAAATTTAATCTGCAACAACTTTACGCAATTATTTAACCAAAAATGCTAAAATGTTCTAGTTCTAGCCTCTCAAGTGTGAATATTTCAGTTTTTCATAGTCATCTATGACAGCAAATGGAATATCTTTAGGTTCTTGACTATTGTTTGGACAAAACAAGCTGTCTGAACATGTTAAATTTGGCTATAGGGAAATTATATTAGATATGTTTCACTATTTTCTTACATTTATTAATAAGGAAATTAACCATTAGATTAATCAGTAATGAAAACAATCACTGCTTACAGGTTTTAACGTTATTGTGAAAAGACAAAAGTTATTTTGCCCAGGTTTGACTTCATAATGAATATATCTATGAATATTCAATTTCACAAAATTTTCACACAAATATGATGTCTTATTTTTCGCCTGACATCATTTCTAGTCTCCAGTATGAACATCTATGCATGGCAAAAATAGTCACACCCTACAACACACACTTATAAATGAACATAGTGTGTGCCTCTTCATACATGCCAAGAAAATTCAGTAACTTGAGCCTTAAAACGTGCCAAACCCTTACAGACACGCAAGCAAAGTGCACTTAACGACTGACAAAAGGCAGCATGTGGAAAGACAACGTGGAAAAACCCCAGTGCAGAGGATAACGGGAGAGCTCCTTCTTGGAGATGCATCTCATTCAAGTCTTACCCACAGTCAGTGCTGTATTATTACGTGGCCAAGCCTCGTTTTCTTTCCCTGTATCTCGGCACTAGTACAAAAGACTGTCCTGTCTGCTCCGGACACTGCTCCACACGGTGGAAATCAGCAGTTATTAGTAGTCCTGCTACAGTCTTTACAGTCCGACACATTAAAACACTTCAACCAAACTCAGCAGACAATACAAGTGTCTGCGACTCTCTGGGGGTCTTTGTTTGTCGCTGCTCCCGGTGGCCCCCATAACTACAACAGCTGTCCCCTCTTACTCGACTCAAAACTCACTTCATCCACACCTAGACGCGACTCTGTCAATTTAAGCATATCCCGATCCACGGAAGTTTGGGAAATCGCTGAAGCACCAGCTACAAAGGATGAGAAGCTGTATAATCCCGCCTCGGTTCACTTTCAGGGAGAGTTTGACTGTAGTAGCCTCGGACACTGCGACAGTAGCCTCGATCCCAGTCGGACTGAGCAACTCTTAGGAGCTATACGAGATAAACCGACCACGTAGGGTCTCTGTTTTAACAAGAAATGGTCAACCGCTCACTTTCACAACGTCTGACCAGCATGCGGTGTTTGTTACAATATCTGGACATCAAACACGAGTGTCCGTGTGGTAACACAATAACAACGCATACTACAGTACAGTCATGGTTGATAAAGTTGTTTTCTACACCATACGTGATGCAGCCCTCCTTTTTGATGCAGCATTTTTGGCAGATGCTGACATAACGTTGAAAATAATGGTCATCATATTAATGTGCTCATGGGTGTCAGGAGCACCCCCAGAGAGACCCTATTTGGTAAACCAAACACTATAACAACTCCCTTTTAAGTATCGTTTTATATTTGGATAGATCTTGGGTTTCTATAAATAAGTTCATTATAAAATCTCACCAAAAGTGAGGTGATGGAGTCGCACCAGGTGCTTCATCTGAGCTATATTTGCGGGCTAAACCAATACTTTTACAGTTTTCCTGGGCAGCCAATCGTGCCGTGTGTCACACTTTGAAGCCCTTTTGTTTTCCCCACGCTTACGCTGCTGTTACTACTCCTACTGCCTGCTGCTGCTGGCACTGAGTTAAAAAAAAAACTCGCTCTGTGGGTTATAATAAGTCACCTTAGTGGTCTGTTTCGGGACAATGAGCCAGAAACGGCCACGCTTGGGACGGCTGAAGTCTTTTCTAAGGGCGGAACATTAACAACCAGGCAGCATCTCCCCCCTTATTAAAGTGCAATCTTAAGTCAAACCTAGTTAGTCGTTGGGATGCTAACGTTAGCCAGTTAGCTTGCGGCTAGTACCCTCGCGTTACATTAGTAACGTCAGTAGTTGGAAGTCGAGAGATAATAGTCACACTGTACCTGTATTCCGTTTCTCGCCGCTTTCCCACACTCAAAACTTATCTGCTCCTCTGTCCGCAGTTAGAGTCCTCTTCGAAGTCTTAAAAGATAACTACTACACCTAAAATCTCTAAATTCGTGCCTAATTGATGATCACAGTCAGCACAATGAAGTGAACTGCATGGATAGATAGAAGCAGCCGTTAGAGTGTGCCGGGGAGACGGACAACACCCGGACAAAAGTGAGGTGGACATCCGCCCCGATACATTCGCCTCTCCCAGCCAGCCTTTTGGATTGACAAAAAGTAGTTCAGTAAAACTATTAAGTGTGGCCTACTCCTCAAACTGCAAATTTGTTGCTAAACATTCCATTCACACTGCTTTTTGTCAGCATGTCGTGATGAAAATATTTGATAAAAATAACAAACAGCCTTTAAAGATGCCCGCTAATTCACACTATGGTCATTATCCGCAGTTAATCTTGTTTAAATGTCAGGGGAAATACGATGGGTGTTTAACTGCAGAATCGGTAGCTGTTACTCTTAATCTGCCGTTTGACAAAATCCCATAAATTAGGGACTACTTGCCAGTGTGTCGGCGGAGGGATTCGTCAACTGTGCATTTCTGTGCTGAGACAGGCTGTCCAGACTTGTACTGATGTATGCATGGCAGAGGAAAGGGCAGGAGAGTAGGGTACAACTGAGCAGCGGGTGTGTGTATGCGAGCGGGTGCACGTGACTTTGTGCACGAACCGACAGTGACTCAGATAAATAGCCTCAGTGTACTTTATTGTAAAAATATGGAACACAACCATTCAAATAGTTCTCCCTTGTGTGTGCATATGTGTGTGAGTGCACAGGTGGGTGCGAATGTGTGTGAGCAGCAGAGATGTTTCAGCGCTAGCTGTAGCAGGATTTCTCACACCTGATGCTGCCAATAAACACAATAAGACACAGAGAACCTGATGTTAGCTTCACAAGTGCCTGCTGCTGACATGTAACAGCCTGCTACATACTGCTCCTGCTTTTTCTCCCTAGACTTTCTCTTTAGCATTACCAACCTCCTCCTCGTTTTCCCCACCTCCTCTTCATCATCCCAGTTCTGTCATATATCCCATTGTATCTCCATCTCCTCTGTGATCTCTCTTGTTTGTCATCCACCTTTTTCTTCCCACACTCCTGCTTCCTCTTCCTGTACTTCTTTTTTATCTCCTCTCTGCTCCTTCACTTTCTCCCTATCCCCCCTCCCTCTTCCCCCTTCCTCCCACCCCTTCAATATCTGCCCTAATTCTCCTCCTCCTCCACCCTTTCTCCTCTTTCTCCTGCCTGATTTTTTTTTGTTTCTCCTTCTTCGTGTCTTTTTCTCCTCCTGCCTCCCTCCTCTCTCCCCTCCATTTCCTTTGCCTCCTCAGCTTCCCTCCACTCGTTAGTAATTCTCCCCCTCCCTCCTCTGCTTTTCCACCCCCCACGTGCTGTCTTCAACCATGACTCCTCCAGTGTCTTTCCTGCCTCTCTCCCCTCCTTCCTCCTCTTCATATCCTTCCTCATCTCCTCCTCTTCCTCCTTCCTGTTTCTCTCTCTCTCATGTTGCTTTCAGTTTCAACAGTGTGTGCCTATGTGCAAAATTCTTACCTTCCCCTCCCCCCACCCTCCCCATAAGGTGACACAGTAAAGCAGCCCTCAAGCACCCCCTCTTCTCCTCTCCTCTTCCTCACCCTTCTTCTTCCTCCCTCTCCAGTCCCATTTTCACCCCTGCCACCTCCTCCCCTCCTCTCATTAGTCAGTGTCCATGACTAATCACCATTCCAGTCTCTCCTCTCGCTCAGTCCTCCAGTCCCTCACACATCCTTACTAACGAACAACTGCTACATCCCTCCTCTCTTCCCCCATCACCTCTCAGCTCTCTCCTTTCATCCTCCCCCTCCCTCTTTCTCTCTCTGTTCTCCCTTCTACTCTCCTCCTCCTCTTCTTCATTCGTCACTACATCTCTCTCTCACCCTTCCCTTCCTTCTTTTTCTTGCTCAGTTTCTCTTTGGTCTTTCAGAACTGTGTCCCTCCCACTCTTGTTTCCACTTCTTCTCTCACCCCATGCCCCTCCTTCCTTCTCTTTCCACCCTGACTCCCATCCCTCCATCAATCCTTCCTGTGAAGTCTGACTTTTTCTGTTATCTCAGGAAAGCACATGAGTCTTGAATCAGGTGTGATAGAATGAACTCTTCCTGCTCTATGGATTAAGGCATCATCATGTCCCGGTCTTTTTGTTTCCTTCTCTCACTGTATTGCAATACTACCATTAATATAAGTACAGTGAAATAACACCATTTGCTTCTGGCAGCTCATGATTTTATGATTTCTTGTGTATTTTTTGTCAAGACATTGTCATTGATGTTGCACCATCTGACGCATGACTCGTACATACTTTAAAACATTAGACATGATATATAGCTGCTTGCTGCAGTATTGCACAGTGGTGTGTATAGTGTTCCAGTTCCATAATGTGCACACTATTTCCAAACACATTTGAGTCAGTAGAGTGTTCACACCGGTAAAGTAACAATAAAGAAAAGAAAAAAAGATTCTTACACATGCACACTATCTTCCCACAATGCTTTGCTCATAGGAAACGAAGAAGCTGATGGTGGTTAAACAGCAATGTGAAGACCCTAGAAAACAACATCAACAAAAAAAAAGGTCGGTGCTGCATACAATTAATAGCTGATGAAGACTTGGCTTGTGCTTCTTCACCAGTATAAGGAAGCTGTAAGGCCAATCTTGTGGATTCCATATAGTTTGAATATAATCAGCCATAACCTACTTACAGTCATTGCACAGATATAGATGTACAACTACAGAAAACAGCAACAGACATTTTCAGGTCAAATGCAGATATCCTGCACAGTGATTCGTCACCGTGGAACAGAGCCCGTGGACGCCCAGTCTGTCTGGTGTAATTCTGTGCTGTGAGCCTCGCTGTGTGGAGACAGGCCTCGTCCCTGTCCACTATTCTCCTGTGGTCCTTTCCACACTGCATCTGTTGAGTCCCCATCTCATCCTCTTCCCTCCTCCCTCCCTCTCCTCCCTAATGCCTTCCGTCTCATTTACCTCCCTCCGTCCTCGTCATTCTCCTCCATCCTCCTCATCGTCAGCCTCTCCAGTCTCTTTATTATCATTGCTCTTTCCTCTTCATCTCCTCCCTCTTTGCCATTTCTTTTTTGGTCTGCATTGCTGAGCTAAAGAGTGGGATATGTGTGTATGCATGTATACCAGTAGATGTGTGGGTGGCGGTGGGGGGGGCAGCTTGAATTTCATTATCCAGGCCTTTGAACAAACGCACACTAGAAGTCTCATATACTTAAATATTTACAAAGAGACAGGAAGAAACTGTAAGTAGAAAGACAAAGAGTTGTATCTCTGCTGCACAGTGTTGGTTTTTGCCATGTCTCAGCTGAATGCAAAAACTGAGACAGAGAGACTCACACAATGAGCAGCAGGCCTCTGGATCAAGTCTACATGGGCCTCATCGCGCCCCCTACTGACACATAAAATAAATAGTTTTTCTACTGACAGCAGAGAGACAGATTCCCTGAAGACAAAAGACTGTGGGCGGGGTTTAGCGACTGGGCCATCTGTGTGATGGGGAGGGCTGATGTGTGTGTGTGTGTGTGTGTGTGTGAGAGAGAGAGAGAGAGAAAGAGAGAGACTCCCCCCTGTACAAGGCCTTTATTGGCATTATGAAAAGTGGATAGTATTGTGATGGTGGCCAGCTCATATCCCACAAACTCTCAGTCATAGTCAGTGATCTAGTGAGTAATAATGAACCCCCTTGTTTTGGAGTCCTACAGACTTCACCGCTCTGTGTCAAAATAACATTAGTAACTACAAAATCAACCATTTTGTCCCTTTTTTCTTTTGCTCTGCCCTTCATGCCATAAAACCCAATATGATCAGCTCTTGGTGTCTTTTTGTTTCCTTCTCTCACTGTGTACTCCTGTAAATATGGGCCTTTAGTATGACTTTGATATTGCATTGATTTGTATATTTGCAGTTAGTTTTCATCAGGTTTATGCTTGTGGAAAAACACACAGCTCCAGCTTTTCTTTTGCAGAGTGCTGGAAGATACCATGGTCTGTTTTATGCTTCACCAGCCAATTACCATTTGTTTGTAGGAACTGGTGTCAAGGATAAAATATTAGTCAGTATAAAAACTGCGGCAGTAAAAAGTAGAATACAAGTCTATGTTCTATATGTATATATAATTTATCCTGAATACTTAATTGCAGGTATGGAAGAAATGCTGCAATGTAAATTGAACGATTTCTCGCTCAGCGTCTCCACCTAGTGGTCATTATTTCTAATTGCTTCTCAAATCATGTAGCGCCACAGGCTGATTTCATCCGCTGAGTTGGGTCCCTCTCTGAACATGAATGAAACATCTGAAACTATTTCACATTTGAAAGTTTTATTATACTAAATTGGATCTGTAGGAACCTTGCATGCTGCTTCCACAAAGTCACAACACTGCAGCATTTTTACTAAATTATTGTAGGGGTTGTGGCTCAGGAAGTAGAGCAGTTGTCCTCTAACTGGAAGGTCAGTGGTTTGATTCCCATTCTCCACATGTCAAAGTATCTTTGGGCAAGACACTGAACCCCAGTTTGCTCTCGATGGCCAGGTCAGCACATTGTAGGGACAGTGCCACCACCGGCTGTGTGTGAGTTGCAGCAGATAAATTACAACTTGCAGACATCTATGCAACTCTGTACATGGCATACATATTTGCTGCTTGTACTGTAAATATAAGATTAAAAACATCAATGTGATAAGACTATAAAATAATTTTAAATATATGCTGTATGCTCACATTCTATCACCCCCAGTTTTAACATTCAAAAGTAGATAAAGTTGACTGTACATATGTTCTACAATGTGCAGAACATCAGTTAGCAATGATAGTGAAATAGGATTATAGAGGTAGCCTATAATAATATATAATAAAAATCTGTTGTGAGTAGGTTGTAATGGATTTCAAATTATTGCAATCATGTTAAACATTACTTGAAATTCTGTGCACTTCTCTTGGATATGATATCATTCTACACAATGTTACAGCTGTAAATGCCACTACACAACAACGCGAAGTGTGGCCGTGTTTCTTAACTTTATTTCACACTCCGAGGGTCTGTCATTACTTCCAAACACGGAAGCCAGACCTGCACCAAAGTACTGCTGCTTTTACTTGCAGTGGGAATAAAGAGTAACCAATGTATATCGTGGTAGCGTGGCCGAGCGGTCTAAGGCGCTGGATTAAGGCTCCAGTCTCTTCGGGGGCGTGGGTTCGAATCCCACCGCTGCCAATGTTATTTTCTTTTGGGACTATTTCTAACATAGGCTAGATATTTATTAATTTACATCAAATGGAAATAGTGAAGATCGGTATACTATTAATGCAGCACGACAGTGATATATCTGAGAATGAGTTGATATAGAGTTCCAGTAATAAAGAGGCTTTCAAAATATTTGGCATGTGATAATATTAAAGCAGGGACAGGCTTTGATTTTTAGCATATTACTGTTCAGTAATATAGCGGGGTGGCGGGGGCGTTACTACAAGTTGTACTGAACACATTGTTCTCATTGCCTGATTTTTCTAACAAACACATTGTACACAGAGATATGTGGGCACACATAATGTTTTTAGCCCACTAGATAAAGACGAACAATGGTAGCTGAATGGAATTAATGGGAGAAAATAGTGTTTGCATATTTAAGTAAATTTTTAAAAAGTACATTCTTCATGGTTTAATTTAAGAAGTCCGAGCTGAGGAGGAGCATGTGAACGCAGCATAGTTGGACTCAACGGAGAGCAGGGGAAAGAAAGGGACGAGGAAGGCGCTGTGTGATACAGCCTCACAATCTTGGCGCGAATCCGACTTAAAGAGGGATTAGACAGTTACATTTGCACAGACGTTTTGATCTAATTTGCGCCTAACCGCTGCTTCTCTCACAACGTCGGTCGGTGCTTTAGCCAGCTGGCCTCGTTAGCACGCTATCTATCACTGTCATATTAACTAATCTGGCCCCCTTTCCTCAGTCTGTAACGTTAATCACGACACTAATAGCCGCTACAGTAAAGCCTGGGGACAATAGAGGTATATTTCTCCAGGGGGATTGATAAGGCGCAGCTGCAAAATGGGGGTGAGTTTTATCTTTTCATTTCACTAAATGTCTCGGGATAGCGAGGTGGTGTGAAGAAAGGTGGATGTTTTGGACTCGTGAATGCGTGATGTGAGAAGAGAGAAAGAAAGAAGGAAGGAGGGAGGAAGGGTAGGAGGAGAGAGAACATGGTGGATGGATGTAGCTGAAGGCGTTGGTTGGCTCCGGGGCTTATTTGGCTGCGTTAGCCGTTTAACCACCTCCAGATAGCATTGTGATATTGCCCTTTGCTCACAAATTCCTTTGTATGGCATTTTCAGCAACAATACTGCATTGGCCCTGGCCCCGCGCACAGTTAACCTCTCCTAATGTGTGTTGTGACATTGTTAGCGTGCTAACCGTGTTAGCCACTTAGGAATGTCATAGTGATAAGACTATGGCTTTGCTAGCTGTTATTGCTAGTCACTTATGTCTGTGTACATTTTAAAAAACAAGCCATAGTGTAATGTCGTAGCCAACCTGGTTATAATAAACTCAGGCTTGCTGGATATGAACAGTGTACCTGTCAGCACCAGCCAGACCTGACAACATGCCTTAACTGAGTTTGTCTCTAACTTTAGCTAGGCTCTGCCAGCAGACTTGAGTTTGTCCTCCACTTTCAAGCCAGATAAACCAGTCCACGTGTTTCCAGTCCCAGCTCAGTCTGCAGCCTCTCTGTGCTTGGTACAGACTTAATACAGCTAAAGTTGGCACCTCAGTACATTCCTTCCCATTATTGTTGCCTAGTTTGTTCACGTCTGGATCTGATGCAAGAATTTAGCTAATTCCAGCTGGTTTAACTGTGAAGCATCAATGCACCATTTCTGTGCTGTAAACATGTCATGAAAATGTGATTAATATGTTCCAAATATACGTGATTTCCAAAGATGGGTATTGAAGTTTTTGGTGCATATTAAGTGCTATCTATACTAGCAGTACATGGCTGTTACTAATGGCCATTTTCCATTATTGACTTATCTACTTTCATTTAGTCTGTAAGAAGTCAGAAAATAAAATGCCCATAATAATTTCCCTGAGTCAAAGTTACCATTTGCAAATAACCTTCTTGTACTACTAACAATCCGAAACACAAAAATATTTAACTTGCAGTGATGGTGAAGGTGCTCACCTTTGGTATAAAATGCTGTGGAAAGTCTTGCTGAGCAATGTCATTTGTTGTTGTATACTGTATTTTATTTATTTATTTTTGACATTTTACGCAATGGAGATCTTTCTGTTACAAGTGTTGATAACTAGAGACAGATAATAATCAATGTTTATGATTGTGCACTGTGCTGGGTTATAGCAGCTGTTAGTGTGTTCTCTCTGCAGCAAGGCATATGTGCAGTTAATTTGTGTGAATTATGGCTGCACCATTGCAGATACTAGCATTAAGCATCAAGCCAGGAGCAGGATAAATTAGCATATCAGGGAATTTTTCCAGTACTGTAATCCCACACTGAGAGCAGTGATGCACATCTGCGGTATAAACACTCCTCTATCTTACACAGCAGTGATAAAAGCTGTTGATATGACTGTTCTGTTTGTGTGTCATTAAGTCTTTGTTTATCATGTCGATGTGTGTGATAACCTGCTGCTGCAAATGAGGTCTGCACACCTGGAAATGCACACAAACACCACAGGTACATGAGAATAAGGGCCTACAAATACATGGGTGAATTTAAACAAAAACACAACAACTAAATCCAGGTCCAGCTAATTATCTATACTTCTTTTAATGTCCCCCATTAAATTTAGCCTGAAACATGACTTTAAGGGCAGAGACACACCAAGCCAACATGAAAAAACTGGCACCGACAAAGAATGACTGCTGTGTCGCCACCTCACATCGCCTTTGTCTGAGCCAGTCGGGTTGAAAAGTGAACACACCACACAGACTACAGCCAAAGGCCAACTAGCATGTGCATTCTGTACCTGCGAAGGAAATAACTCCCCCCTACCGGCAGGTGGCGGTATCTGCATTCACCATTCAGAAAGAGAAAGAAGAAGAGCTGGACAGTGGAAATAGAAGTCTTGTTAACTGGCTCTTTATGCTTTGGGACCACAAATACCAATGTCTCGGATCACTTCAGCCAAAGACGCAATGAACAACAGTATCGTACATAACCAGAGCCAGTGAAAAGGGTCTGGTTTAATGTATCATGAAATGGAGAAGGGGATTGATTACATGACAGGAAAAGCAAAAAGATTCTCAATAAATTACAAGAATGGACTATGAGAGTGCTTTGTCTTTTGCTGGCTAACTGGGGGAGGTTTATGAGACCAGATTTATATTTTATGAAAATCTATACTTTTTTTTTTTATTGCGCAGACACAATTTTTTTTTTCTGTCAGTGAGTTATACCGTGTGCATGAGTACTGGAATAAGGAGCTGTGGGGAGTCAATTAAATATTTCTGACATGTATGTTCTGTTATATCCTCTCCCTCTTCCCATTTTTCCTTCTCCATTGTTACCCTTATCCTGTCTCCTTTCAATCTTCCTGTTTTGTCTACTCTATTTGTGAACCCACATCATCTTCTCTGTCCTGCATCGCACGTTGCATCTGTTCATTGCTTCCTTCATTTCTGTGTCCAGAGGAAGTCCAACAGAGCAAAGGAGAAGAAAGCCCGACGCCTGGAGGAGAGGGCGGCTATGGATGCCATCTGTGCCAAGGTGGACGCAGCCAATAAGGTAAGTGGATTGCAGAGAGGTAGCAGTCATAAACCTGGAGGATGTTCAAGGGAAAACTAGGAATGGATTTGGAGAACATTTATTTATTGTTGGTGGCTTCTTCACATCATCTCAGTGAAGAAACAGCTGTTAAGTGCTTCCACCACTTGGCTCTTTTTACATGTCGTTTCAAGTTTTCCAATGGATTCCAAAAAGCTGGGGATGCCCTTCTTGTCCTATGTGCACCTGTAATTGCTATTCACATGACAGGAAAAGACAAACACAGTGCCATATGCTTCTTTATGCATAATTTATCAGCATTATTAAATCCAAGCCAGCAGACAGCTCTTGCAGCTTGGAAGTGGAGGAGAACAAAGCTCACATTCCCCCCGAACACAGCTCTGAACTGACCGGATCGGTCCTGTTCCTGCTCTGTGTCACCTGGCCCCAAAATGGGGTGCTTTGCGTTCCATGCTGTTCTCTCCCCTGCCCATTTTTACTGTTGATGTGCATTCACTGCTTTACAAAACAGCAAAACACCAGATCCTGGTAGGTTCTCCATGGCCTTAAAATGGAAGAGAAGTATGCATGGATTGTTTTGAACAGGCCTCCTGGGTACGGGCCCCAGGGCCCAAGGTGTCAGAGGGCCACTAAGCAATGGCTTCTGTTTCAAATGACTCATTAAAAAGTAGGGATGTCCTGATTTTTCTTCTTCTTATGGGTCGAGTGTCTGCTGACTTAAAAGGCTGCAGAAATGTTTATTTGTATTTTATTCTTGTTCATTTTTGCCTTGAAAGAGTTGTACATTGCATACACAGGGCTACATTATTTAAAAGAGTACCCCATCACAGGTTTCCTTTTATGGTTTCCCAGTATTTTTTATACTATGCTACAAAATGTAGTATGATTTAAAATGAATCTTTAAATTTTAAGGCTGTTCTGTAATAACGTTTTTTTAAATGTGAGATGATGCCTATATCACTCTGGGACACAACACAAAAGTTTTTAAAGTTGTGTGTGAATATATGCTGTGAAATCAGTTGTTCTTTGGCCACAACAGAGTCTGGTGTTTGTCTCATTTTACTGGAGCCTACTGTATGTTTGGCCTGTTGCTTCACAGGCTGCCACTACTCTCCTGATCTCCCCCTAGGTAACAGGGCTCAGGAAGTCAACAGATGATTAAAACGGCGTGATATTGAGTTCCGATATATTGTCCCATCCCTGGTAAATAGGAGCGGGTGCTCAGTGTCTCATTCTGTCCTTGAAAAGGGAATTCTTAATCTCAGATTGTGTATATTCTCAGGACCAATGAAAAGATGACTGCGATTGTTTGTGGCAGATTAATGACAATAACATGAACATCCCTGTTTGTTTTCTGTCTGCGTGAGCCTCGTTTGTGCTGTTTAGGCTCTAGAGCTTGTAGCTGAGCCCGAGGGATGCTTCAGTTAGAAGTAAACTCACTTTCACTGCCTGTTTTTGGGGATTTACTATATTTCTAAGTAAAAGAAGAGTTTGATCTAAAAATTTAGAAGTATAAGTGTGCAACTCATTTTAATTAGCAAATGATTTGGCATGTTTTTTTTTCTTTTTAAACTGATTATTGTTTTGTCTGTAAAATTCAGAAACCAGTGAAATCACAACTGTTCAAAACTCAGACATTTATAAAGGCAACAAAAACCAGTGAATCCCCATGGTAGTAGTCTTTTTGCAGGGCTCGTTGCATTAAGACTTGATCCTGGGAGGAGAATAAAAAGAGACTGCTTATAATTTTGCTTGTGAAGCTAATTTTACTTCCTCCTCTCACAGCTAGATGACCCTCTGGCTGCCTTCCCAGCCTTCAAAAAGTACGACAGAAATGGGTATGCGCTGCTTTGTATGCCTACAAAGGACTTATTCACTATTTCATGAAATACATACTTGTTTCATTTGCTGCATGGAGGGGAGAGTTGCTCTGCTGGTGCTATTTCTTTGTCTCTCCCCCAGTCTGATACAGTGCACAGTCACACATACTGTTATTGTTCTTGACCCTGTGAACTTGTCCTCCTGTCCAGGCTGAACCTGCAGATAGAGTGTAAGAGAGTGACCTCGCTCAACCCGCTGTCTGTGGAGTGGGCCTTCGAACTCACCAGAGCCAACATGCAGTCACTGTAAGAAGTCTGTTCTGTCCTGTTCTTGCAGCTTGTACAGAGATGAATGGTAGATTACAGCTGCAAACAAGTGTAGGTGAGCCAGAAATTCCTTGCGTGTGGGAGAAATGGAAAGTGAAGCAATGACAGTAAGATCTGGATCAGAGCCTTTTAAAAATTTTTTTTTAATTTTTGGATTATGATTTTGACCATACATGCTGAGGCGAATGTGGAAAGCAGAGGTGATGCAGACAGATTTGGGATAAAGGCAGAGAAACTACTGCGATTGATCTCTTCTCACTATGCAACAACGTGAGCCGTGTTCAGTTTAGTTAACGACACCCAGTCAGTCGAAACTTCATTTAGAAAATGGGTGTATTGTGAGTGGCAAGAGCAGCCAGGCGACGTCTTTTTGCTGTGCCATAGGTACGAGCAGAGTGAGTGGGGGTGGAAAGAGAGGGAAAAGAGGGAGGAGATGAACGACGAGAGGGCGTGGTACCTGCTGGCTCGTGATGCCGACTCTGCCCCTGTGGCTTTCTCTCACTTCCGATTTGATGTGGAGTGTGGGGAGGAGGTTTTATACTGGTAAGGATGCATGAGTCTGTTGATTTTAATAAAAGTTTATCACTAGTTTCTTTTTTTATTTTACCATTTTTATTTGAACCTGTTTTGACTCCCCAGCTATGAGGTGCAGTTAGAGAGCAGAGTGCGAAGGAAAGGCCTTGGCAAGTTCCTCATCCAGATACTACAGCTCATCGCTAACAGGTAAAAGCTACAGCAGCAATCGTGGCGGTTAGACTATGAAATCCAGACGCTTGGGGGCCTGACGGCAGTCAGAGACACATCACACTCTGGTTGGGTCAACAGTGACTCCCCATGTCGGCTTGGTACCATTTATACAGGACTGCGTGGTGGGAAATTGGTACAATAATCCCATTTTGAGCAGGAAGTGTAAAAGGGCCTAATATGTGTTACCTCCTGCTTTTAGTGTGTTTGTGTTTTTTTTTACTTGCAGTGTAAAGCATCTTTTATTGAAAAGCACTGTAGAAATAAAATATAATTATTGGTGGTGGCAGTAGAAGCAGTAGTAGCAATAGTACAATATGTCGTTAAAAAGGTCCACAAGTCATCTTGAAGGAAAATGCACATCCTTCACTCAAATGAAAAACTAAGGCAGATTTGTTTTTCTTTTCTGCTTCTGTCCAGTACACAGATGAAGAAAGTGATGTTGACAGTTTTTAAACACAACCACGGGGCTTACCAGTTCTTCAGAGAAGCTTTACAGTAAGTATAGTGGTTCTGCAAAGGGCCTGTATTTTATTGATTTGGTTTTGTTTTTTTAAGTTTTCATTTGAACTTCAATGGGCAGACGTTGTGAACAGGGTGGTCTAAGGTGAAAAAGCCTCTGGCCAGGTTTTACCAGGAGTTTCTTGGTGAACAACAAAAGCACATTCCCTTCGCCAAAGAAAAAAGGCGGTGGATAATTATGACTTGTTATCTGTGCTAATTATGAGATCAGGATCTTATA